AGATCAGCGGTTTAGTGACTAAAGCACTATACTCTCAATCAGTAACCACTAGTTCAGTCTATCTATTTCAATTTAGGTGGCTAGTTAATATAACAGCACCAAACATAAAATACAGCTGAAAATCGAATACATAAACTGAGACTTAGTCAATCTATTATGGTAATTCATTCGTTAAATCAATATATAACGAAAAATGTTTTCACATATGTGGTTTAAAGCTGAGTTTAATAACTGAGACAGATTGCAAGCTAGAGAGATTGGACTAGGAGCCAGAGATTTTAGATTACCTCAAAAAACTAGTAAAATACATCTTCATATCAATCAGCAGTGAGATGATACCAAGCATTAAGTGGGACTAGAAAAATCTATAACATTTGTACTTATAATTGAAAAATCAAAACACTTTTACCCGGTAGTAAAAAGTAGGCGTAAAATGGCAAGATGAAGGTATGAATAGTTCAACAAGCAATCAATCACTTCCTAGAAATCGACAAGAAAAGATTTACACTTTAAATCTAATAATGTATGTGTCGTGAAATTTAGAGCAATTAGTTCCCGTTTTACATTTTGATAGAACAATGAGGAGACAGAGTTGATCTGAAAAATGGGATTTATTCACACTGTGTTATTCCAACAATCTGACCATACATTTACTTATGAAGACATTTCATATGAAAATTATTAAAGGTTAAATCAATAAGAGTTCGAATAAACTGAAGGTGATAATTATAGATAAAGGAGAGACAAAATTAACATAGTATGGAAAGAATATAATATCTGTAGTCTATACTCTTTCAATCCTATTGAAAAGGCATTTCTAACCAAGTCTCGCTTGTGTTGCAACGGACAGAAACAGAGAAAATTTAAATATTGTCCAGTCCAGATAGGCGTCCTATAAACTGACCGCCTAATAGTTTCTCCACCCTTCGACTCATAGGTATATCGATATCATTCTGTATACAATTGAGTTTATATAGTAACTGAGTAACATCGAAATTTTTATCACATATGACCAATATATCATCCATGTACATGTCCTGTACATAGTCACCTACCTCACTAATGAGCTCACTCATACATACATCAACTAAGAGAAGCTCCAAAGGACTAACCAATAACAACATCACTAAATTGTCTAGAATGTTCATCTTGAAACGTGAAATGAAATTTTTCTGTACATAATAAAAGTAGTTGTTTCAGTAGTCTTAACCGAATAGTAAAACAAGGGAAGGGAAGAACTACACCATGACTGTTTGTCAGGTTTGAAGATCACAATTTCTGTTCTACTTTGGAGGATTTTTAAATTCATAAAATATTTAGATGTCCAGATGTTCCTTTGCTTTATTTGAGGGCCGTGAAATCGGTGGGCACTATCAACCAACATCGCCTTCAACCAATTAACTTATCTAAATTCGTCCCGGTAATCTTTAAGACATTTTGCGGCCAAAGGTGATGCAACAATTTCCTATCTCCTTTATAAACGATTTTCACCTTCAGTTTATTCAAACTTTCATTGATTCAACCTTTAAGAATTTTTATATGAAATGCTTTGATACGTATATGTGTGACCTGATTGTTCGCATTGCACTATGCAAATAAATTACATTTCTCAGATGAACTCCGTTTTCTCATTGTTCTATCAATATTTATAACGAAATGATTTGACATATATGTATATAACTCCGCCTGTAGAACTTTCGAGGCTACTGCCGGTCCCAAGCTCAGATAAACGAGGAGGGTTAGGCATGGGATTGACGACCTCATCCCACCAAGAAAACGCTAACCAAAACAAATAATAAATAATCACGAGGCCGATGCCTCTTCTGACAACCACAGCAACCACTCTTTTAGGTACACGGAACGTTCGAACATTGTGGAAGACCGGAAGACTATTCCACATTGCTGCAGAAATAAAAACATACAACTTGGAGTTGCTTGGAATCAGAGAACCACATTGAACGCAAGTTAAACAACTGAGCATAGCTTCACGAGACCTGCTGTTATACTCCGGTAATCAAGAATAAAATGCCTCACACATACAACGAATTGCACTGGTGCTGTCCGAATGAGCACAAAACGCACTGCTAATAGGATGAGAATCTCATGGATCCAGCATCATCAAATCATCCTTCAATATTCGAGAGATGCTCATCAAAGGATTTAACGATTCTGAAGGGAGACCTAAATGCCAAGGATGACATTGACAACATTGGATATGAAGACATCATGGTAGGACAAGAACTACGAGAAGGCAGCGAAACAGGAGAGAGATTCGGAAACCATTGTGACCTCAACAAACTGGTCATCAGTGGCACAATATTCCCACACAAACGCATACACAAATCTACATGGATTTCACCCGATCACAATACTCAGAACCAAATAGATCACATCTGTATCAATAAAAAGTTCAGAAAGACCTTGCAGGATGTGAGAACCAAGAGAAGAGTTAATGTAGCCTGAAATCACCACTTGCTGGTCGCCAAAATGAAATTGAAACTCAAGAAACACTGAACAACGTGGCAGACAATGTCACACGAGTTTAATACGGCTTTAATTCGGGATACCGCAAAACTCAACGAATTAAAAATAGCCCACC